GTCTCATACCTTGCTGCGTATGACTAAAATGACTGGTACTAGTCTTGTAGCCAAGACGCATTTCGCAATGCCGCGATCCGTTATTACATGCAGGGCATATGCAGCAGGGTATGAGACGGAGAGAACGCCCCCTGCTTTGTGTTGGTCATTGTCTCACAGGAATCTGGGGAATTCCTTTCAGACATCTTGGGGGAAGTGTTAAGTAACAATAGTCTGGAATGTGTATAGGGATTGGACATGTTGGGGGGCGGTACCCCTCGGTCTCATTTCTTGCTGGGTATAATGCAGGGTGCGGTGTACTTTACAAGGCGAAACACGGCAACACGGTGATGGTTCGTATCTCAGAATAAACAGGAAGGTCTTGGAACCAAGACTAGCAATACACCGGCGTTTCGCGTTCACAATTGGCTGAGACGGCGAATGTGTAGGCTTGTGTTTGTCGGACATAAATAACCTATAAATAACCTCCACCAGCCCTTACCATGTGTGAACAGGATTTTCTCGACGACGAAGCAAATCCGAGTCCATTTATTACACATGTACCCACGTGATTTTAATACTCAGCAAAGGCCAGGTCTTCGGCCTTAAACGCTCAGGCTCACTCAGGCATGAGTGCTATTTACGGCCTCCACACAATGTCCCACTATCAGTTGGTCACTGGCATTATGGGATGTGTTTATTTTGAGAGTGCAGCACTGATTGACCGTGGACCTTTTCATATAAGTTTTATGGTCTGTCAGAGTGGAATTTGTCGTTTTGCAAGAAACCTCCGCTTTAGATCACTTTTACTGGTTTTCAGCAGCACTAAAACTTTAAGAGTGTCTAACCAATTTCTGTTCAAAGGAAGCTGGCAAGTCCTGTTAAATGTGAACAAAAGTCCGGAAAGAAGATCAAACATAATGATTTTTATTTTACTATAAAACAATGAAAAATGTACAGTGAGAAGGAAACGTCATCACGCTTTATTCAGATGCTCAGCCATGAAGTTGAAGAATGGCGAAATGCCACAGGCAATCAAGTAAAAATCAAGTGGTGTGGAGGTAAAATCGGACTGGAAAGGCAAAACAGTGCAAAATCAGGAACTTAATTAAAGTAGGTCATAAGTTGATGCAAAGCTTGTCACTTGTGAATATACATGATTGCGCATTGAATAATGTGTTGCGAAAGTTTTCCCATAAAGTCTCTTACCTCTGTCTACATGGCCTTATTTTCTTCAAATTTAGTTAAACTTAACGGGAGGAAAGTTCTATGTTACAATGGTACAACAAACCTTGTTTCACGCACTTCTGTTTTATTGGGCTTCTACTTTTCTCCTGCTAATCCAATCCAATTTGCACCGACGAAATTACAATGCACTACCATTAAGAGGCACCTTCAACCAATAAAGTGAACCGTGTAAATGCTATCTATTGTAATTTTCAGAATTTGTTTGTTTTAACAAGCAGTCTTATTTATGGTTGTTTTACAGTCTTCCCCACGTGACAACCCTGCCTTGAGATTCAATACGAGCATACTTACCCACTATATAGCAGATCGCGTGTGACATAGCGAAGACTGTACCAAGATTGGATACTGGGCACTCCAAAGTCTCATGGACAGGAGTTAAGAATACACTCAAGCTCTTGAACGTACCAAACTCGATGAGAGTTGTGAAAAAGGTAGCAAAGACGACGACCCAGCCGTACCCACCATCAGTCTCCATCTTGTCTGTAATAAAAATTGTGAATTATGGATAATGTGCGTGCATCAAATAAGACTGTCTCGTGTCTCTCAAATGTTTTGTTCATACATGCATGTGTCCACTTCTTTTATTTTGAATCACCATTACCCAACTTTGCAACATAATACGACGCAGGCTAAAATTACAATGATTGGCAGGTAATAAATAAACCAATCAGGAACTTGTGCCAAAATGGAGGCCACCAAACATAAGGTGCAAACAGTCTCAGCCCTCCCTCTGTATGTTGATGAGGGAAAAAAACACCTGTAACATCTTACCGTGTAAAATGGACCTGAATGAGGATTTTGAGATTGAGAACACAGACTATGGTGTATATATAATTTTAACTTACCTGAATGTTCCTTTTTGAGTTTCTCTGTTTTGTATATCTCAATGATGTTCTGCTTTTTGTTCAATATCATCGTTTTAGTTTTACCAAAGGAGACCTCCGAAGATATGACAGAAACAGAAACAGCGAGGACTGTTTATTTGTAAAAAGTCAAAATATCAGCTTACAGCTAACTACAAATTACGGTATAAATATTATGTGAGGTGATAACTAGACGGCAAGATTTTACCATTAAAGAGATTATGCATTGTTAATACACTGGAGGATTTTCTTTGTTATTTCAATTTAGTTGTAGAGATTTGCTGTAGCCCCATGCAAAGTAGCTCTTTTATGAGCATGCGTGGTTCTCAGTGAAAAGAGCTGGGAGGTACTCAAGGTTTTGGACAGCATACTCTGTCCTTCAACAGGAGACTGCGTAGGTTCCATTGTTGAAGTCTCTTATTTTGTATCTTGAGGCGGTGAGTTGTGAAGAGGATGCTAACTCAGGATCCAACCAAAACGCATAACCTCTATAACCCCTGCGAACAAGGTTCTAAAATGCCAATGACAGACACGTTCTTTGCAGAAAAAAATCCTGATGGACAAACTTATTTGGGGGAGATTCGGTTTACTGAACCGAATGTAGCTAGTGAAAATCAAAAATAGGCCTATTTAGTAAGCAAGGGACGACACTGAAACTCAGGCCACACGCCGATAAAGAAGGTTCTCATCCAACAGACTGGTGATAAACGATACTTACCGAAGACGACGTTTAACAAAAACTGTTAGTAGCTGTAATAATGACCAAAATTGATTGAATATCTCCGATCAGCAGCTTCGTATGAATGTGAGTGCCATGCTTTCACGTTGTGTTATGCGTGCTTATCTTGTTCACTATATCGATGGATGGCCCACCACAGGTTGTACCATTGTATTTTAGGGGCGTTGTTGAAATGGTTCAGGTCAAACGCATATTCTAATTAGTTGGAAAAACTGTCCAAATACTGCTCAGACAACTGACCTACACGCTCGCCATCATTCGTATAGGCCCACTTTCAATTTGCATAGGCCTAATAGGTTAATGTGTGCTGACCCCTCGCTTATGATTGGTTGCTATCCCACAAATCGAAAACATGAAGGAAAACATAAGAAATTCCTGACAAGTTGGAAAAGGCCTCGTGGCCGCTCCACTCGTGCATGCGGTCTCCGGTCCAGCCCCTTTGCAGTTACAAATAAACACAGCCGCGAAGGCCTTGACGAAGGGCTACATCATCAGTGGATATGTGATGCTACAATGGACGGTATTTACCACTAATACTGGCGTGAATTGCTGACGAATTCTGAAGACCATTGCAGTCAAATCAGCGCACTACAAACTACTGTCTATGGTGACAGGCGATGGCCCGGTGACGGGATGGGCATGGCCGATGGCATCGAATGGACGTGATGCTGCCTCACCCCCTGTTGACCGGCTCTTTTCACTTCGATATTTTTCGCACCCCAATAACAGCACTTCCATGGGTACACTAGATCCTGGAGTAGGATATTGGGGAAATACCCACATTTTTAGATGGGGGGGGGGTAGGATAAGCCCGCTAATTTTATTTTGTCAAGCAAATTTAAATGGTTATCATCACCCTATGTGATAGAAGTAGAAGCAAAAAAGATTAATTGATAATACACCAGCAAAAGATTCAGTATAGGTTTTAGAAAAGATAGACGGGCAGATTACAGGATAAGATGACAATGTTGATATTACGATTTTTAAAAAACAAATAATTTTGAAGACTTTTCAACAATTGGAACTACTTTCAACCATTTCAGTTGGCATCGTTTGAAGAGCACACCATGTCTTCATGCATTCTCTCTTGGGCTCATTTTATAGGTTTTATTGACAAGTAGAAAAATTAGTTAAAGGCTTACATTTCTAAAAAAATAAACTTTATATTAGAACATACGAAATCTCAGTGAAATTCGATTCGCCTTCCAGCGGTAATCAAGGAGTGCATGGTAGGGTCACTGAATGTCAAATCTACATCAGGGGTTTAATCCTCAGGTTTCGTGAATTTATATGGTACGCGTGACATTCAGAGACGCCAGTTTGCAGTCACTATAAGTCTAATGCCATGACAAGGCAGCATGCTATGTGAAACTGTATGGAGGTGAACCAGGACAGGGTTTTCGCCACAGTTGTACAAGTCTGTTATTGATGTTGAGTGAATTTAACCCCCCTTCCACTTGGCTGTGAATCTTATTGAAAGATACTATATATTAAAAGTCAATGGAAAACACTTTATTTATGACTCTTAGAAAATCCCCACATGTTACATGTGGGGATTAAAAAACACGTCAGGTGTACAAAATTTTATTCGAATCTTAAAAACGTGTTGGGTCAAAAAATTTCATTCGAATCCTAAAAAGTTGTTAGGTGTGTAAAGTTTCATCCAAAAAGATATATTAGGTACGAAAGATTTCATTCGGTTTTGGAAAATGAATTCAAAAATCCAAAGTACGGTCTGTTTTAAAAAACATTTCATTACAAAAAAAATGATTTTTAATTTGATTTTTCAAGAAGCACTACATTTCTCGGAAAACATGGTCCAATCTTTTTGACTTAATTCTGCTTCGTAGGCAAGCAACCACCATTTACCAAAAGCCACTACCTGTGAACTTCACGGAACCGTCTGGGTGTAGCCAGAATTTCAGTCATCTGTCACCCTTACAGATATTTTAACTCTTCTTCTGTGAAGCAGTTTAGCAATTGCTGGTGAGGGAGACCAACCGATACGCAGATCAGACACTCTGCAGAATCCGCTAACTCTAAGTGTACTTGGATTCCAAAGGATGTTCCTGAAATGATGGCCTTTGTTGCACTGCTGTTCTCGATGGGCATCAACAAAAGGCCTAGCTACACAATGTACTGGTCCAGGTGCCAAGTTCTTTGAAGTCCTTTGTATCCGTCGACAGTGTCTCGCAACCGATTTATGGCACTACTTCGATTTCTCCACTTTGCCGACAACTCGGTTTTAAAAAGTACCACGCAAGTCGGCCAAATAAAGCTTGAAATGTTTTTCCTTGAATGAGTCTCAAACCGGTTACACATGTGACTAGAAGGTGTTTATAATTACTGGATCCAAGGCTCCATAAGACCAAATCATCTCGCACTCTGTTGCGTATGCTGAAGCCAACCATCCACTCAACCTTACAGCATCAGGCCAAGTTGTCGTCGGCCTTCTGAAAGGACTTGAAAACACAGGACATGTTGTTTCCATGGACAATTGATACATTAGCCCCGCTCCTGTGCACATTTGTCCCAGCAAAGGTTTGGAGCTCGTGAAACAGCGCGCTATACCACACACAAGGCATTCCAGACATTGCAGACCCAAGAAGGTCCCCATGAACAGACATGATCCACCCCAGTTTTTCTCTAAAGCGGGGCAACTATGTGTTGTTCTGTAGGACGCCATAAAAAGTATAACAGTTCTGACTAATTATGGCGACTGCAAAAGTGACGCTAAAGACATTCGTTGCAAAACAAAAGTTCCACCGGACGTCGTACAATCCAAAGACCTGCAGTCGTCAACGATTATATTAAGTACATGGGCGGAAGTGACTTAGCATCACAAATGTGTCAGTACTACACGCGTCATCATAGATCCCTGAAATGGTGGAAACGCGTTTTCTTTGCGGTTCTTGACATCTGTTTGGCTAATACTACCATCGTGTACAACAGCATCCCTACAAAGCGTCCGCACACTAGCTTGGATTTCCTGGTCCAGGTCATCAATGAATGGTTGTCTGCCTGCAGGACGAGCAACTCAACACATGTCCCTGAAACTGCACTCCTTTCAAGTGGACATTATTCCGGAAGGAGTAGGCAAGCCCAAAAACGAAACTGTTTTGTTTGCAGTACGAGAACCCAACGTAAACATACTCGTGTTATTTGTAGGAATTGCCAGAAACCAATGTGTCTAATGCCATGCTTTGAAACATTTCACAGTGTGCATTAACATAGACTCAGGTAGTTTAGATTGCACCCCCTTCAACCACCCCCACCCCTTCCAGTGTTGCAGTGGACCGCCCTGAGTGCGCACCAGCCTTTAACGCAACATTGGATGGGGGGGGCACGGGGTCGGGGAGGGTGGGAGGCAAGGCCTTCGTGAAATCTGACTTGAAACTCATGTACCATAAATGTGGCGCCATCTTCAATCAGTCTTGTTTTAGAAGAATAAATGTAGCACACCTCTGAATAAAAGAAGTTTATTCCTGCGATTTCATCAATGGTTATTCATGATTTGGAAAGAGTTCTACGTATGAAGTTCACTCGTGCTGTTCTTCAGTTGTCAATTAGTTCCCCAAAATCAGTTAGAGATTAGATTAGATTAGAATTTTTATTGTCCGAATCATAAAAAAATACAGCAATTTTGTTTCCATTGGCACATCCAAATATAAAAATAGGCATTTCAAAATAGATAACAATTTACAATATTTAACCAACAAGATTAACCCACTAAAACAACTCAAATAAAAATTATTAACGTACAAATAAGAAACTACCGAAAAATCCAAAAACTCTTACTTACGAACAGCTGATTCGAATAAATGAATAGAGTTGGGAACAGAGGATTGCCTGTATCGAGTTAGGTTTGTGCGAGGCACACAAAGTCTAAAACCGGATCTATTAATTAAAAACAAAACACTCCAAAAGTGGATGAGTTAGATCTGATAGAATGACATGTACCTTAGATATTACACGTTCCAAGTAGATATTGTCATGTGTTGGCAAGGTAAGACCTACCGAGCGTTGAGCCGTTTTACGAACACGCTCAAACCTATCCCTGTTTTTTTGTGAAAGTGAACCATACACACTAATTATGTTAAAACTAACAATGCTCTGTATTATGGATTGTTAGAATAGACGTAGGATCGTCCTGTCAACATTAATGTTTGCGCTTACGAAGGATAAACATCCGTTGCATTGCCTTGCCAAGGACTACCTGAGTGTTTTTGTTCCAGTTAACTTTGTCATCAATAACAGTACCAAGATATTTGTACCCATTAACCCTTTCTATTTCGTTGTCATTAATATAAACAGGTTCATGAGCTCCAGTATTGTGCCGAAAATCCACAATCATCTCCTTAGTTTTCTGGGTATTAATAATCAGAAAATGGCGGTCACATCACTCCACAAACTTCAGGAAAGTTCAGGAAAGTCCATTTTAGCAGCGACAGAGTACAAGCTTTTTCAATGAAAACACAATTTGTCAGACCAGTCTCAGAGGGTTTGTACACAGGGTGTAAATTAACTTCGTATATGGAATTCTTTCCCAGGATTTTTTACCAAAACAACTTCAGAAGTAATATTCTCCTTATTGGATATCATTACAATTAGTCAATGGGGTGTCATTGCAAGAGTGGCCTTTCATGATCTTGACTGTGGATTTGGGAAGAGGGTTATAACGACGGGATCTCAATTGTATCATGTCCGAGCATTAAGCGTAAAAAATGGGCCCTTTGCAGCGGAGGGTTGCTCAGACCATGAGATATGACACTCTATGCGCTTTGGTAAGTTGCACCACGTTGCAGACTTCTTGTCCCGCTTCGAACACTTTTCAACACTGCACTGGCCTACTTCGGGGCAAGTCAACACATTTAAACCAGATTATTGCATAACTTGAAAGTGACAAAAGGCAATCTTCTCTCATTAACATGACCTTTTGTTGTCACTTTCAACCAGGACAAGCATGACAGAGGACAACCTCATTCCCTGACTCATCCAAAGTGTTATACTGATTCGGATGCCCCATTTTCAAGACAATGGTGTTCAGTCATGCATGACAGGAGGGATACCATCAAGGTATCATTAGAAAGAATACTGCTTCTACTTTTTGGAGATCCTTATACATTATAATCATATCTTATGGTTTGGACATATTAACCCCTTTCCTCAGGGTTTGGTTTTTTCTGGGACACCCTGTAGTTTCCTGCTTACTTTCCAAGAAGCCGTATCCGCAAGTTCAAGTCCCAGTTGCGGCAGACAATGACACTTCAACTTATGGAACCCACTCGCCGTTATTTTTCATACCCCAGTTGTTCTAAGTCACAGCCACTTACTATGGGATTTGCACGGCCTATCATCAGTTCGATCAACGACGAGCGACTGTGCCCAGTTTTCGGACGCCAATTTTTCGACTTCAAGAACAATTTAAAGTTACTCGTCAGATTTTCCAAAATGGTTTATAAGGCCTTTCACGTGGAAAACCTATTCAACTACTCAACTCCAGGGGTTTGGTGTTTATCAAAACAAAATCCGTGTGATACAATGGTGAAGGAAATCGAAAACCTTGACGCAGTACAATATGAAGTACGCTACCACTCAGTACTAGATTAATTCACAATTAAAAAAAATCTATCGAAGTCGCCGCGATAGTATTTGAAATGAAGCTTAATCAGTATCTGGAATACACTCGAACATGTGTCCTCTTCCCAGGAAAACGCAATATTGGGTGAAATAACGTTAAAAGAGGGGTGGTTTTGGGCATTTATTTAAGGAGGAAAAAGTTACGGTTTTAAATGAAATTTTAATAATTACAAACACATGTTAAATTTTGAAATGACAAGAATTCTTACATTTAACTCAAACTTTTAATTTGAATTGAAGTTGAATTCAACTTTTATAGCCGAATCGCCTGATATTCAGTCTTAGAAAAGGTTGTTTACTTTCGTTGCTCAAACCGCCAGAAAACAGCAAAAGCGGGCCTACACATTTTTCGCCGCTCATGCGCAATAATTAAATTTCCGCAGCGAACATACTTGAAAGATGTTTGGCACGCTTGTCACATAAACACTGGGACGCTTGTCCCAAGGAATGTATAGCTGTTTCCAAACAGGATTACATAAAACAATGTTAACCTGATTGTCAGCTCACCAAAGTGAAGGTTTCTCGCCCAACTTGCAGTACCGTGGTGTCTGAGATTATTGACCAGCGCTCCAATTGGTTAGGAGATTCGGAGTTACCTCTGGCAAGTACTTCTCCTCGAATGAGATTAAGGGGCGCCAAGAAGTTGCATTTCTGAGGCCGCAGTGTTGCCGCCCCATTCCGCGGTTACCGAGAATAATGGACATGCATTTTTTTTATTGTATATGTAGTTAAATGAAGTGTTGCCAAAGGTATGGTGGCTCACAGATTAGCAGAATATTGCAGGCCTCTCTCGACCAGATCTGATGTAATGTTGGATAGTTTGGAACAGCCTGCGGGAAATGGTACCAGTACCTTACCAAGCGGAGTTAATACACAGCTTTTCAAAGAGCAGATTCGAAGAAAAAAGAAATATGAATATTAAAAGTTGATGCTATCCACGCGATATGAAGTGATTCCTTCATTCATTAACTCCTCCAGGATGACTTTGAGAATGATCTCAAAACGCTCTTTACTCCCTTTTCTGTCTGAGGCATCTGAGTAAATAAATCAGTTGTACTTAATTTTATCGCGACAATCAATCTTATAACACACCGATTATTGGATGTTTTTTGACACTCCTACGAGGAAGCCCACAATGGTGCGAAGTTTCAAGAGGGTCTATCCATTTTGTAGATTTGAAATATGTGACACTTTGTCTTGTGATCTGTTAATTTTAGTCAGTTGTTGATGGACCGACGGAAAATGTTATGTAGGGATTCATTCCCATTCAAATTAATTCACTAGTAAATATTCATATCTGAATCTGCTGCCCAAAACACCTCACATAGTTTTGTTTTGCTATTGTACAATTGATTATCAATGATATCACAGTTACGTTTGGATCATTGTTTACGCCATCCGTAGTTTAAACCATTTTTCCCAATGGTAATGAATATCCAATTGCCGAATGTGTACCATCGAATGTGTCCGTAATTTGAGTGGTTTCAGTGTCTTTTCGTTGTTGACTTCTGATCATGTGATATCGCCATGAAAAAACCCAGCCTTTTTCTCGTTCAAATCTGGGGTTTTGATAGTTATTAGCGAAGTCAACTGCTTTTCAAATCTATCTTTACTGTTTTGGGGGTACGGTGCGTTTTGTTTGTGTCGGTCTTGAGTGGATTTATCGAGTAGTGAGAAATAAACCGGGATCTTGAGTTCAGCATTCGTCGTACCCATTCCATCCCAGAGTCCACAATCTGAGCCCTACTGAGGCTCAGGGCCCTGTTCTCGCTGGGTGTGCTACCGCCGGGCGTTTCCCTACACTGATATTTCAAATGAAAATCCAGCTTAGGGGGTTACCCAAAAAAGGTACATATGTACTTATTGCCTTTGTTTGTACCTGTGTCCGTGGCTATTTCCCAACTACTGATCATAACATTGTTGTCATGTGCTAATTATTATGGATCCGTGGGAGGTTTGGCTGATCGGATCATGAAATATTCAAAAGAAAATAATTTGAGTTTGAATAGTTAATCACAACATGACGCGATGTTGAGAAAGCTGTCTTTTAGTTCCAGCTCTTGTTCAAAATGAATCTACCACTCTTGTCGTTTTGGAATAAAGTTGCATAATTTCCCTTTGAAAAATCACGACCACAGACCCTAGTTTTTGAATCATCTTGCCGATGCTACAAACAAAGCGTTCAAGAATAACACTTCACAGACTTAACAAAATATCTCGATTAATAAAAAGTAACAATATGTGATTGCCTCATATTTATGCTGTTTAAAATTAATGTTACATAAAGCGCTTCACAGGCTCTTAAAAATCATGATCTTTACAATACGGGACTAATATGATAAGGTTTGTGTTTACAGATTTGGAGGAAATTACATGCAATCATTTTTAATATCTGAGATATTCGATTGTTCTGACAGTAATACACAATTAAGTTAATCTATTAATAACTTTAATAGTGTTAATGAAACATCACCGATTAACCCGTTCTATATTGTAGAAGCATTTTCTGCGTAGCGTAAGTAACCAGGATTTTGCTTTTATTTCAGAGTAAAATGCCTGTTCCTGTCAACTATAAAATCAGTTCATGAAGGCACTTCCTGAACTTCAGTGCTGTCCACTAATAGAGACACGTCAATTCTACTCTAAACTTAAAAAATGTATTAGCCTACAGATTGTTTCTGTGATATGCCTCATTCAAGAGCGTAAAGAAAATGTTTAAAAAGGGGAATGTACGGATGTAGATTCATATCGGAAGAGATTCACAATGTAATAGTATTCGCCTTAAGCAGAAGCACCCCGTCATTGGTCGAAAAGAGCCATGTTGGTCGGTAGTAGTCATTTTGTTGGTAGCGATGTAAGTGTAACGCGTGCATTTCATAGTTGTTCGTTAACCAGCGAAGTTCAGTTCCGACAATCGGAACACATCACAGCTTCATTTCCCAGTAAGAGAATAAATGAATACATAAGCTCCACCCCTCAAATTGTCAATTACTAGAATGTTCCAACACTTTTAGACAATGTCTCTGTGACAAAGCCTTGTCACCATAACATGTCAACATAACATAATTAAATAATTAAACAGTTGACATACAAAAACACCTAAATCAACGCTGTGAGTTCGTCATAGTATACTCATTTAGACCAGACTGCATAAGTTCGTTCTGCAATAATGGCAATGGCGATGACTGTTGATAAGCCCCCTAGGGAGACGAAAGCCAAATTGTAATTCCCGATCATCTCGTAAAACGCACCTAGAAGTAAAAACAAAACACACAATCCACAATTATCCGACTTACACACATGCATTCATGTACAGGAAATAAGAAAAACAAAGGGTTTGTTATGATCCCAGTTCATCCAAATTCTTTGTACATTTGTGTCTCCCCGCAAATTTTGAAATTCATCACGCATGTTTAAAACCTATAAAAGACCCGGTAGTCATTTATTTCGTCCTCAGTCAGTGCCCGTGTGCTTTCTTTATAGCTATATGCGTTGGGCCAGCGCCTCTGTGTCATCTTCTACGCGTATGCTCCTCCTCATCGCCTGATCGTGGCCCAGGCTGACGTCACTATGGGACCGTGGACTCCCGGATTGTCGTGGCTCCATGACTTTTTAGCTGAATCCCTGTATATGTTCTACGCCGAACGACCTGGCTGAGCAGGGCTGTTCTAGTGCGAGGTGTGGAGGTGCTTGGCCCGACGAATGTGACCTTTCGTCATGGTACTGGCTGAGCAGGGCCTTTTCTTTACTGTCTTTTTAGGTCTCCCTAAATACTAGGCCGAATATAATGAGCTTCTTTGTGACCATTAACATGTTTTTGCCGACTTGCTAATTATTATGTTTCTCCGTATAATTTTACTTCGCTGTTCTTTCATGCCTTTGCTTGACCAAAACTCGTGTTTTGCACGAGGAGTTAAACTTGCCACACACAAAAAAATATGCCTTTGCTTTAAGTTATTGCTTTGCTGGTTAAAGTTTATAATCAAAAGTGGTTTTGAATTATTTTATTGATCTTTCTTTGCCCACACTAAGGGCTTAAGGCCTATGTAGTATGGGAAAGCACGCCACACATTTCTCTGAGTTCTGTATGAAGAGGGCGGCATACACTGCATGGCAAAAGTTACACCGTAAACCTGCGCTCACCTGCCATTAGCCCTCGTGAGCCCTCAAACCGAGGTACTATTTGGACCATGACAAGTTCACCTTGGCATAGAGAGGGCATATTCACAACATCAGTCAGAAGTAATCAGGTGAACAGTGACAAAGGAATGCTTTCATTGCAGTTCATTGAAGAGCCATTGCGACTTGGCTTAAGATCGTATGACTCATGATGGATTTGTGATGGACTCTACAGCACTGTAACTCAGTAGTACAGTCTTCCACACCCGAGGAATAGCGGGCAACGCAATATTTCGTCGTAGCTGCGAGCGCATACTACTACTTGTCAAGAGGATCGTTTCGATTGCCTCCACAAGAACCCCCCACTTTCAGTTTTTGTTTCTCACCTGCCCTTTCCACGCACTTTCCATGTCATGAAGAACTTCCCATAGCGCTTTTAAGGTCAAGAAATGTTTTTGTCCGTGTTCTCAGTCGTCGATTTTAGCATTTGAAGTTAGGTATTAGAGAATAATTCCATTTCTATCTTGGAAACAAAAGTTTCATTACTATCTTGGAAACATGACGATCCTTGGTATTTCATATCATATGCGGCTTTTCTTGGCGTCAAGGTGTTGTCCTGCACTGTTGCCCTCCTCCACTACGTAGATAAGGTCTTGTGCCTTATTCATCTCAGCCGACGGTAATGCATTCTTGCATAGGGGGGAGCAGTATCCGCCCTGACTCTTAAACACGATTACTAAACGATGCATAAGAAAATGTTTATTTAATTTGTGCAAATGTTGTCAGATCTTGATTACGGTTAGCGTTCAGCTACCGCGGAGAGAGTTTACAAAATGGTTTTATCAATGCATTCTGCAGTAACTCATGTAAAGATTAATGTGCAGCCAGCAATATCTCGAGAATCCTGCAAAAAGGACCTGGTCTTAACCGAGGTCAGTCTTAGCCGAGGGCGGAAAACAGTGGAGCTGCAGCGGACTGCCAACCGACATGTCAGTGCAAGACAGCGCAAACGACATCGGCTGCTATCGACTGATTTGCTAAGACGAAAAGGTTTCGTCAATGCGTCAACCAGTTTTTGCAAAGCCTGCCTAGTCTGAAAAAAAAGTCAATTTACGCAATGGTTGAGAGCACGCCTCCAAAGAATATCTTCCTTCCTTCAGTTACAAGCGCCACTTCTTCCAATGTGAGAAAGTGAGTGCTAGGGTTGGCCTCATTGTCAGACTTTTTTCAGGGCAGCCTTAACGATGAGACGTTAGATAATGATGTTATCCCTATCGTTGAGGAAAAGTTTGATGTTCAGGTTTGTTAAAGCTCGAGATGGAATATAACAACCTTTCCTCTGTGAAAAGAGTTGACTTTTTTACGTAAATGAAGAAAGCTAGAACCAAAGGCGGTTTCGGGGGGGGGGGGACAACGGAAATCATCCCCCAGTAGCCTCCCCTTTTGGAAAAAATGAGAAAAAAGGCGATTTTGGGTCGTTTTCATTTCCCTCCCTTCCAAAATCGTGTACAAAGCCCGCAAATGTAGTTTCAAACCTTCGGAACGCCAATAAAAAACGACATAAGAAGTTCCAAATTTTTTGCCCCCCTCCTTAAAACAAATTTGCACCCTCCCGCGAAAATTTGGGTCTAGATATACCATTGGCTGGATGATTGTTCTTCGCTGCATCGATCGATTCTGCAGAACCTTAGGGTAACTTCCTTGTCTCTATAGCCACATTGATATATACAAACTTGGAATTAACTGTCTCTCTTTTTTCCGATGAGCGTAAAAAATAGACCTTGGACACGAAACCTGATTATAACGCTTGTATCGCGGTAGTTGTCAAACACGTTTTCAGGAGGTCGTCATACTGTTGATCAAATTTTAAATACGATTGCTTCAAAAGTAGGGTTGTCATTCAGTTTCAATGATGTGGTCAAGAACTGAGGCATAACCTCATCGGAGCCACAGCTCTCATGTATCTCAGATGATACGCCGTCTGGCCTTAGACTTTGACCTAATTTTAGTGTCATCTCCTCGGCTCACTCATTGTGAACGGACTATTATCGACGTGTATAAGGATACGACATGTTGGATTTCAGCGTCCATGTCGATTGCATTAGAGTGCTTTAAGCACCGGGACGCCCTCCACATGGCTATTTGTATACCCAACAGGTGGTGAAAAAAACCCAGTGCACCAGTGGGTCTAGCCGGAACCAGCTTTTGTTGAGAATCTTGTGTAAAACGCAAGATCATGCATTTCTTTTTGTACCAGACAGTATTATTGTAACTTAGAGAAATCAACAATCCTCCCGAGCCTACCGGTTAACTGTCATCATAGAAGACGCCGCAAAGCTCCGTGGAGAAGGAGAGACACAAATGCTTATCATTATGAGGTTTATGTAAACTTAATATTACTGAAAATACCCACTCAGTTACCTGCAAATACACCGCCACATACTTCACCAAGAGCGAGGAACGGCAAAGACAACAGATATCCCTTTACGGAAAGGTCTGGTTCGATCAAAATTTCTTGAGCAACTGGCATGACGATAACACCGATAATCCCAACTGCGGCCCCATTTACTATTGCCAGGATCACCAGTACATGGTAGTGATCATACGACACCATATCAACGAAGAAGGCAACAGCGTTAAGCACAGAGAGCAGAATGAGCAGCTTGAGTGCTGTTATAAGTCCTCGATCAATGGCCGGCCCGTGAACCACTCTTACAACCAGGTTGCCTACACCGCCCGCTGTCGCCAAGAAACTTGCCAAATGGGCATCGATTCCTTTCGATATAGCGTGTGGGATCAGGTAGATCAGCCATGCACTAAAAATTACTCCATTCAAAAACCAAATAAGTAGGAAGATGCTGTAGGCTGGTGCCAATATAAAGATATCCAGTGAGAGTTTCTCGGGGATATCTTTTAGGAATGTGACAACAGAGCGGAGAAGCGAAATATGTGATAGATTTGGATCTGTCGATGTGTCAGCCTCATCTGCAGCATTGATGAGTCTTTCGTGCGTCCCCAGGGGCGGCCTTACTAAAGCTCCACAAGCAGTGACATTGAAGTTGACGGCAGCAAGAACAGCCATTGCATTCGGCCAGCCGTATGTTTTAATCAGAAGCTCCACTAGAGGAGGTATGACCATCATGCCTACGGCTGCTCCCGTGCTTATTACGCCATTGGCCAATGCAAACCTTGTTGGGAAGTACGTAACTACTGTGATCACTAACGGTGTGTAGGACATCGTAAAGCCAATAGCTGTGAAAATTAAAACGAACAGTCAATAATCTGATGGAGGTCCTGGTGTTAGATTTCAGGGGAATGAGAGTTTGGAAAAAATGTGTTTAATGTTTGAACTTCGGCCAGATAAAAATCGAAAACTGTCACACAAGTGATGGAGAGTTGCAACATTATCCGACGAGATCACAGACATATACCTTCACCAGAAACCGTAATTAACACACACTTTGCCAATAATAATGTCTGCTTGAATTAATTTATGCATTTCAAATTTCTATGTTCTAGCTTTTTACTTTAATAAAAGAAAAGAAAACCGAAAAGGGTGCCATTTAATTTGTACGGAACCCACTCACCTAGAAGTGTCATACCAACAGACAACAATCCGATGGATGTTGAAGATGCGCACACGAGGAGCCCCGCGAGATTGCAGACACCACCAGCCATAACGAAAGGACGACTTCCGTAGCGTGTTGTGGCTGCTTTGCCGCTAAGTGGAGCTGAAAGAAAAGTGAACGATCACTTTCAAATCCATATAACGGGTTTTGCCCTTACCCAACGTATATATTAATAAACACTGTATGCTCAGTGCTTGTGCGAGAGCTTGCGAAAAAAGTCACAAGCTTACTCGGGTGGGACTCGAACCCACGACCCTCCTGCTTACTAGTGCAGACGTCTTAACCACTCAACCACCGACCACACAATACATTATTAATATATTGTATATTAATATGCATTATCAAAGTAATTCATAAAAGGCCACAGAAAAGAGCTTACTCCAGCTGAGTATACAAAAAAATGGTTTATTTTGCAAGAATAAAAGGACATCCCTTTTGGTAAAAACTGCCCTTTTCTTTTAACCATAAGAGTGAATGTTTTATCCCATCAGTGCTTTTCCTTTACATTAATATAAGAGAATTGTATTTGTGATTTTAATCATAAAGATGAACAAAGAAATTGACTGGAGCGGGATTTGATCCCTTGCGTGACCCACCACGGAGTAGTCACGGCGCCACCACGCGGCAGCGGGCAAAACATCGCCTACCTGCCTGGTGTGTGGAAACGTGACTCTCCACGCCTCTTCAGGTATGAGAATTTCTTTCTTTGTATATGATATGGATGCAACCAGAGTTCACAAAGTTTTCCTATATCACTGTGTAGTGCTTGTAAAGGTGTTAATGTACTGTTTAAAGCCTTGTAAGGGTCAAAATTAGGCCGAAGTTTTATTCCAACATGTCGCCGCCAATAGAACGCTGTGCTCTGTGTTGACACATGACATAGGCCTACATGAGATGATTGATCGAGATTCATTGTTATTGTGCACATATGCTACAATATGCTACGATTCATGTCCTTATATGGGCATTACCTAAATTGCCTTAGTTTATAGTTAGGCCACAGTATATTTATGTAGAGCCAGTGACAATTTGTACTGTGTTTAGGCCTTAAATTTTGTTGCATGTGATCGAGTGTGCTCGCAGATTTTATTTATAAATTACTGCAAGTAGATGAAAAGTACAGTGTATCAACTCAAAATGCATTGTCTTATCAATAGATATTCATCTGGAATAATGTCAATTGATACAAGTTTTGCTGGAATGTGGATGACACAGTTAGGAATGTGTATTACTGCTGTGCATTTTAGATTCCCTGGCAAACAATAGACTTGCTTCCCAGTCCTTGTGTCATCTGCTTATCACTGCACCACATATAACGACACATGTTCATCCATGAATCTCCTGAGGTTTTCCAGTTGTGACATCACTGTCCCTCATGGTAGTCTGCTTAGGGCCGTACTCTTTGCCAATTTATTTATGTTTGGGTCACATGACTGTATTTATTTTAAATATTAAGTGGCTAATTTTTGATATTTTCCCTCTTTCTCTTTATACTTGTGTGATTGGAATAAAAAAGCATCGCCTGCCCGCCTCGTGTGTGGAAAGGTGACTCTCCACGCCTCCTCAGAGTGCTGAACAAAGAACCCTGTTAAAATAACTCCCGAACGGGGACGCGCCCGCCACATATCGTGTAATTGGGGTGCGATCCCTGGCTACATGGTGTTTCAGGTTTAATGGCTTTTGGTTAGCGCCCCCGAACAGAGATATTGACAAATGGTCCCCTCAAATTCTCTGTTTTTCTTTACAATCATTCATAAGCACTTAGTCATTTTCCCTATATGATTTGTTTCGTGATTTTAATTAATGAACTATCTTTGACTCCCTGAGTAGAATAAAATCTTGTCATACTTTTTGAAGAGAAAGTTGTCACTTGTCATTCCGGCCTTTTACTATGCGGCCCCTTCAACGGTGGCGCAACTGAGAGATGGATGGGCGTGAAACCCGTGAAACTTGTTGACCAAGGGTGATGGGGTATTTATCAGCCCTCCCCCTTTTTCGTGGTGAAAAAGATCAGATGGACTGAGAAGAATTTTGATATTCAGAAGCACTCATAAGGGGGAACAATTACATTAAAAAGTCGTAAAATGTGCCGTTTTGATGTAAGGTTCTTTAGGGGTGTACGGTAAGACACAGAGCCTTGAAGTACAGCTCACGCAGCGAGCTTCCAGAACGCTACACCTGTGGGAATTTTACATGAGGTCGTCCTGTCACGTTCGATAATTTTGGGTAGAATCATTCTTAACTGAAACCACCCTAAGAAACACTAATGTCGCCATTTTGCCTTTGTGTTTTTGAAGTTATATTTTGGAAACGTCTCCTGGACAAACGTAAAAATAACATGCATTAGCAGCTTTGCACTTCCGGCAATATCGGGCCTAGGTCTCCCTATTTATGCACGCTTGTTTTCAGTTCATGAGCTTACGTGAGAACGAGATTGTATAACATTGTGAAGATCTACTTGCAGTCGACGGGTTTTAGATTCAGTCGAGCAGATCTGACGCCGTTCTTGTTAGCAACGGTTAGATTAAACTTCAGAATCTTTTATACACGCAGAATATTCCTTTAAGGAATACATCTCCTTATAAATTGTAATAGATATAAAAATTTTTAATTTTTAATGTTTTTGTTAATTTTCACCGAAAGACTACCATTGAACAGAATTTTGTAACTGTTCATCTACGTACTAGACCACCGAATCGCACTTGTCGTCATGTATTTTAGGTTTTTGGAAGTGAGGGGTCACATTTTGGCAAGATAAATCTCTTTCAGCTCAGGTAATTTTGCAGCTTCTATAAATTAATATGCTGCCAAACATTTTACGAAGGGCTTTTTCGAAGGTGATATTTTTAAGAGTAAACGAACAGAGAAAACAACAAATTCTAAACTTGTTGCACATTATGTTTCCTATCTAAAGGTTACGGATACACGCCACCAGAGGTCAACTTTCAGGCTCTATAGAGAGACTACCTTCGACAAGGCTATCTGTCTGCTGGATTGAGGTGTATAAACATCACCCTATTTTAAAGCAAATCTGAGTCCATATATTACACGCTACGCACGTGATTTTAATACTCAGCCGAAGGCCAGGTCTAGTCTTCGGCCTTACTGCTCAATCAGGCATGAGTGATATTTACGGCCGCCAGGTATTGTTTCATATCAGTTGGTCATAGGCATTGATTTAGCCATGGGAGGTGTTTCTTTTGAGAGTGCAGCACCGATTGACCGTGGACCTTTCATGGTCCGTCAGCGTAGGCTAAATTTTATCGTTTTACAAGAAACCTCCCAGTTTAGGGCACTATCGGTAGGTTTCAACAGCATGAATACAGTGTCTTATCAATCTGTGTTCAAAGGGAGCTAGCAAGTCCGGTTACATACGGGCAAAAGTCCAGAAAGAAGATCTAAAATAACGATTTTTTAAATCATAAAACAATGAAAAGAGTAGGCCTAGAAGAAAAATCATGCTTTGATCGGATGCTCATCCATGAGGTTGAAGCATGGCGAAATGCCACAGGCGAAACAAGTAAAAATTGAGTGGTGTGGAAGCAAAATTGGCCAGGAAGGCAAAACAGTGCAAAGTCAGAAACTTAGAAGTAGATCACAAATTAATGCAAAACTTGTCAGTTGTGAATATACATGATTAGGCAGTGAATAATGTGTTTTCCCATATAGTATATTACCTCTGTCTACACGGCCTTATTTTCTTTAAATTTAACTAAACTGCATAGGGGGAAAGTTTTATTTTACAATGGGAAAACAAAAAACTCTGTTTGACACACCTCTGTTTTATTGCGCTTTGGATTTCCCCTGTTAATTTAATGCAATTTACACCGACGTATAGGCACCTTAGAATGTTCCACCAATAAAGCGAGCCTTATAAATTCTATTTAGTACACTTTTCAAATTTTATTCGTTTTTCGCACTGTGACATATACTTACCCACTAGATAGCTGATCGCGTGTGACATAGAGAAGACTGTACCAAGGATGGATACGGGGCACTCCAAAGTCTCATGGACAGGAGTTAAGAATACACTCAAGCTCTTGAACGTACCAAACTCGATGAGAGTTGTGAAAAAGGTAGCAAAGACGACGACCCAGCCGTACCCACCATCAGTCTCCATCTTGTCTGTAATAAAAATTGTGAATTATGGATAATGTGCGTGCAGACTGTCTTGTGTCTCTCAAACGTTTTGTTCATAAATGCATGCGTCCACCACAAGTGTGCTGCTTCTTTTATTTTGGATCACCATTACCCAACTTTGCAACATAATATGACGTATGGTAAAATTACAATGATTGAAAGGTAATTAATAAAGTAAATAAGAACTTGTGCAAAACTGGAGGCCACCAAAAGTAAGGATGTAAACAGTCTCGGTCCTCCCACTGTATGTTGACTAGGGACAAACACCAATAACATCTTACCATGCAAAGTTGAATTGAAAAAAGATAAAGATTTTAAGATCGACAACACAACTTATCTTGTTTTTTTTCTTTTTTTTCAGTTTCTCTTTGTTGTCTATCTCAATCACGTATTATCGTGTTAGTTTTATCAAAGGAGACCTCCTACGATATGACAGAAATAGCGAAAACGATTCATTTTTAAAAAGTCAAAATATTTAGTATGAGCTACAAAATGCTTCAATTATCTTGTGAGGTGATAAACTAGACGGCAAAATTTTACCACTAGACAGGTTTTGCATTGTTGGTTATTGGAGGCTTTTCTTTGTTATATTAATTTAGTTGCACCATTCAAAGATATCTCTTTTATGAGCATGTTTGGTTCTGAAAAGAACCGGGATGTACCGGTACTCAAGGTTTCGGACAGCATGCCCTTTTCATTGTCAGGAGACTGCAGAGGTTCCAGTGGTGAAGCCTCTCCTCTTATATTGTATCTGGAGACGGTGAGTTGTGAAGAGGATGTTAACTCAGGATCCAACCAAAACACATAACCTCTATAACCCCCGCGCACAAGGTTCTAAAATACCAATGACAGACATGTTTTTTTGCAGGAAAAACTCGTGATGCGACAAACTTATTTGGGGGAGATTCGGTTCACTAAACCAAACCTGTGAAAAAGAAGAATTTGTAGTAAGCGCGGGGGGGGGTATCATATACGTCCATAATGGACGACATAATTGAAACTTACGCCACACGCCGGTAAAGAAGGTTCTCATCCAACAGACTGGTGATAAACGATACTTACCGAAGACGACGTTTACTATTGAATATCTCCGATGAACTGCTTCGTATGAATGTGAGTGCCATTCTTTCACGTTGTGTTATGCGGGCATATCTTGGTCACTATATGATGCACGACCGACCACAGTTTGTTCTATTGTATTTTAGGGGCGCTATCTGAAGTCAAATTGTTGAGGTCAAACGCATTTCCTGTAATTCTGATAGGCCTACGTATTGATGACGTCAAACTTTGTTTACATGTGCACTTTCCTATGGAGCCAGTGGGGGGCCCACGGTCCACTGAGCACCTTAGAAAAGTCATCAGTACTGAGGTCCATTAGGTCTACGGCCAGACGAGCTGTAGACATTTGATGCAAATATGGACGGTATTTACCATTAATGCGGGCGTGAATTGCTGACGAATTCTCAGGACCGTCACGGTCATTGGGCTACAGCTACACCATCTATAGTGACCGGCTGGGCATGCCCGATGGCATCGAATGGAAGAGATGTCGCCTGACCACCCACTGACCGGCTCCTTTGATTTTTTGCACCCACGTACCTGTCTTCCATGGGCATACTAGATCCTGGAGTGGGGGATTGGGGATATACCCCCATTATTTAGGTGGGGGGGCGGCCAAGCAGATTTAAATGCTTATCGTCACCCTATGCGATAGAGGTAGAAGCAGAAGGATAAATCGATATTTCACCAGTGTAAGATTCAGTATTGGTTTCAGAAAAGATATACGTAGAGATTACAGGTTAAGATGACAATGTTGATATTATGATCTTTTTTATAGTTTTGAAGACTTTTCAACAATTGGAACTACTTTCAACCATTTCAGTTAGCATCGTTTAAGGAGCACACAATATCTTCATACATTCTTTCTTGGGCTCATTTTATATAGGTTTTATTGCAAAATGGTGACAAATGGGAAAACTATATATAGGATTACATTTCCAAAAAAAATCGTAAATTTATAAAACTTTTATATTAGAACATACTGAACTTTCAATAAAATTCAATTCGCTTTCTGGCGGTAATCAAGGAGTGCATGGTGGAGTCACTGAATGTGAATTCAACATCGGGGTTCAATCGTCCGCTTTCATGAAATCATGTGGTACTCGTGACATTCAGAGATGCTAAACTGAGTCACCTGACTCCTGATATCTCTATTACTGTAGCACTGATTCTATTCAACCTGAAGTACTTTACGCAATTTAGTGCCAGTCCGCTTTCAAACACTAACCCAAACTGTTTCCAAACAATGTTGACTTGATTGCAAGCTGAACAAAAGTGAAGGTTTCCCGCCCAATTTACAGTACCATGGTATTAGAGACTCGTGACCAACCTTCAAGTCGTTAGGAGATTTGGAGTTACCCTTCGTGAGTACCCTCTCCTCCAATGAGATTAAGAAGCGCCAAGAACTTGGTCTTTTGCCAAGGGTTTATTAGTGGCCTGAGGTCATAAAGTGAAAGGTGCCCCATTCAGCAGTTACAGAGAATAATGCATTGTTTATTGTGTATGCAATAAACTGAAGTGTCACCAAGCTTATGGTGGCTCACAGCTTTTAGCACAGTATTGCAGGCCTCTGTCGACCAGATCTGGTGTAACGTTGGACAGTTTCGAACAGCCTGCGAGAAATGGTACCAGTACCTTATCAAGCAGAGTTAAAATCACAGGCACGAGAAGAGACAAGTCAGCTTTTCAAAAAGCAGATTCGAAGAAAGAAGAATTTTAAAAGATAATGTTATCAACGCAACATCAACACCGAGTGGTTCCTTCATTCATTTATCAACTCGTCCCGGATGATCTCAAGAACCCCCTTATAACTTTTCTCCCTGAGGCATCTGAGCAAATTAGAAGTGAAAAATGCTTGGCGTAGGCACTCAGAAATTTGCAACTAAATGAGCATGAAACTCTTTGCTTCAGTGTACTGGCGTTTCTTTAATACTCTACTTCAAGCAATGACGACAGCATCTGATAGTTAATATGAATAATTAAAATAATGGTTAAACTGAATAATTATCTCAGTAGAATCAAACTAAATCAAAGTTCTCTGGCAACCAGTGTCTATGTAGGCCTAAGGGAAAGAGTTCCACATACGGACAACACATGATGCCCCTGTGCACAAACCTATGAGATTTGTCTAAAATCCCCACAGTTCTCTTAGTGAATGCTTTGGAATTTCCTCAGCTAAATACCAGTTTTGGGGACATGTTATCACTTTCTGACATCTGTTATAACACTGTAACGGAAAATTAGTGTTGTCCCTATATCGAACTCTTTCCCTTTTCCCGCGTTTTTTTCTTCTTAATATTTTTTTTTGAAATAAATGTGCTCAATGGTGACTTTCCGACCTCGAACAGTCTTTTGTGTGTTTTGGGATGTTGTTTTGGATTAACCAGCGTCGGGGTCGCTAGCTGAACTTCCAGCAAAGAAGTACAAATGCACACACTGTGACTGTTGCAGTGAGTGGTAATTTAGTGTGCCTGGCGGGCTATCTTAGCCTCAGTCCCTCTCGAAGGCCTTGGTCTCGTAACGTCTGGCCTTGGTCTCGATCTAACCGGTCTCGACTACAACTCTCCCAGTTAAGTCCAAAATGAATGTTCGACTCTTGTAGTTTTGGAATACAGATGCATAATTTCCCTTTGAAAAATCACAGTTTTTGAACCATCCTGCCAATGCTACATAAAAGGCGTTTAAAATGTTATCACTTAACGCCTCGTACTCTTAAAATTACTTGTAAACTATATATATTCAACGACACGATGCAGATGTGATAAAGATCGTGTTTACACATTTGGAAGATATTATATGTGTTCATAGCTAATGTATGAGACCTTGTACGATTGTTATGACAGAAATATTTAATTCAGGTAATCTATCAATACCTTTTGGTATTCATCGTCCGTTAATTACCCATGATTATTCTATACATGTAAAAGTATTTCTGCGTAGTGTACGTACGTAACCTAGACTTTGTTGTTCCATTTCAAAATAAAATGCTTTCCCAAATAATATACATTTAGAAACATTGTTTCTATTTTTAGAAACGAAATCATTTGTACTTGGTGTGTATTTTTTGAATTATTTTTTATGAGATACATTTTTAAGGTTATTTTAATGAGATATAACTTTAAACTTGAAAATGATATATTGTGTTTCTTATTTCTTTGAAACTTACATAGCGATGCTTAATAAAATGTAATATATTTAATATATTAGTAACAGGTTTCAGATATTGTACAAGCATTTGCTTTTCATCTAGAATCTTCATATCATTTCTGTTATTGTGATATAATATTCGTATAAATTTTCTATTTAATGATATGGAAAATAAACTACCTAATACTGTACCTAATGCCTAGTTTTCGAAAAGATTCTCATTAAATCAACAAAGCGTCAACGAGTGTGTTGAAATAGAGGAACTAAGCATACTCCAAGATTGATGAAATAGCGTTGCTTGAATTTGTCCTCTGTAAATACAAAAGTCATTTTAGAGGTGCTTGATACTTGCACTATGCGCCTCGGACAGGATAATGCTGTTTCCTGTTTCAGAGTTGATTCTTGACGCCTTCCTCTCCTTTGAGGCAGTCTCTCTTCGCCTCTGGGAGCAAAGATCTGAGATGGTGTAGAGATAAGGATTGAGGGAGGAGTTGATCGGCAGGATGAAGACAACGATCCAAGCATAGGCCTCTGTGGGTATCACCACCACGCGGGCCTGCGCCAGGATACCCATCATGATGACTGGCATCCAGCAGACGAAATCTGTAGAGACGATGGCCGCCATCTTCAAGGCCATTCGTATTTCGTCGTCGCGGCTCTTGTGGCGTCGCACCCGCCTCACGGACCTGATAACGTTGACAAAGATGGCGATGTAGCAAGCCAGGATAAGACAGAAGCATAGCAGATTGACACCCAGGAAAAGCGCAATGGAAAAGAACCAGGAAGCGTGGGTGGCCACAGCAACTGGTATTCCTACAGTAATGTCGCTGATCCCCTGTACTTCAATCGTTTGTTGCCTTGTCTCATACTGCGTCACTTTCGTCCGAAGTGGTAACCCAATGCAGACATCAGAGAGGCCGTACACGTCTGACTGCGCGTCTGAAGACAGAACAGTGGGAACCAGTGCGACTACCGTGGTTGCAGCCCATATGCACACCGCAATGACCTTCGCCCCCTTGGGCCGAATGTGGTGAGAGCTGAAGGGAAAGACGATTGCCAAGAACCGATCGATGCTGATGAGGGTCAGGAAAAAGACCGACGCCTCACTGGCAACAATGGAGATCATTCCGGCGACCCGGCAAGGGATGCTGGCTCGCCATTCGTCAGACATCTCAAAATACCGACTGCCGAAGTACAAATCTGCACCAGCTATGATCAACATGTAGGAGCCCATGAGGGAATCTGACACTGCCAGGTTGAACACAAAGAAGGAATGAACCATTCGACTCTCTTTGCCCTGTGTCTTCTCCCGACACCGCCAAATCATCACGAAGATGTTTCCAACAAGGGCACTAACGCCCAGTATCCACATGAAGATTTTAAGGACGAGATTAGGCATGAGTTCACTGCACATAAACAATGGAGGCTCAGGTTCCAGAGTTTTACACTCAACAGAGTCAGGAAAGAAACAGCATATTTGATGATTATCGACATACCTGTAAAAAATAGGGATAAGATTTTAAGTTCATCTGATCGTTGACATCACGAAGAGATTGGGTTATGATGCATCTGGTGTTGGCAACAATACTATAGTGGAAAAGCTATCAATTATTTGGTTGAAAAATGAGCTTAAACTTACAGTACTGAGACTTTTTGGAGCCCTCCAAATGCAGAGTCTTCAACAACTAATGGGGACAGCTCTGCTTTGTTGCGCACAAGTATTCTAGAAAGAAAAAAAATCTTTCAGGGAATAATTGGAATCTGCTCAACTATTGGTTTCATTTACCACAAAAAGTGCAAATTACTGGCAGCAGCTGTCACGAGATACTTACAGTGTTTCAACGTTTCCAAGTCCAGCGAAAGCATTGGACTCAATTTTTCTCAGCGGTACATCAAAGATTGTGCTGCATGTACAGAATACAAACGTCATATTTCGAAATGAAAACGGTTCGTTACTAAGATGATGGTAAATCAAATTCCAAATAACAACGACACCCCAGCTAAATTATTATCGTTCGACTGAATAACCAGCACTTCCACATGTGATTCAGAAGTGAAAATACGTTATTGCTAAGACCAATCTTACATTCCGCGGAGATTTGACAACTCTTCCATGGCAGATTCCTTAAGCTCCGTCAGCGATGTATTTGAAAGATCTCTACAAAGAAATCCAAACAGTCGTTGTGACTATTCAATACAAAACGGTCCACACCTATTCCATTTGTTTCTAGACTTTGGAACGAAATCAGGGTTTCATTCTTAAATATGTCTGACTTACAGCCACACTAAGCTATCCAGTCCATCAAAAGTGCGTTGTGGTATTTCCTTTATCTCGTTGTTCTTCAACGACCTGAAATTAAGAAAAAAAACTTAATAACGGATCAATTTGGTTCCTAGAGAGTATTTTCGTATTGAAATTGCACTGTAAAAACATTTCTCATACTTCTTTTGAAAAAAAAAGACTAAAAAGTTAAAATTATAAAATACGTACACATAGAATTAATTGCAACGAAGCGAAAAACATGAACACTGGATCCATTCTGACACTATAAAGCAACAAATAAAATTAACACTTACAGCACTTTCAGGTTCGACAGCTCTTTGAAGATCCCCCCCTCCAGACTAATATTAACTCCAGACAAATGTCTGCAGACGGACACAAAACATGAATCAATCTAATGTTGGCGACCATCACTTAAATTTCTCTCCATTTTACTCACTGTTATTTTACCAACTGAGTTTGCCAAGCGTTATTCTCACAAGATAACTACTCCCAAATTGCATTACTGTAAAACCGTGCAATCACAAGACTACTAGCCCGCTTTCCATGTTGTCGCAAAATACCTTTTTATGTACTCACAATGTGTAGGTTGTTGCCGCTATGTTCGACAGCGTAGTAGCATCCCAGCCGTTTGCACAAGACACCACAAATTCTCCTTCAACACTGTAGCTACAATCACAACCCGCAGGGCATCGCTTCCTATCTGCAACACGGTGAAATCAATAAGGTTTTTTCTGCATATTAATAGTTTGGGCCCCAAGTCAAGCACTATCCCAACTGTTCGTTCCTAACATGCTGATCCTAAGTAAATAATGCCGACTGGGGAATTTGATCATAAAGGAAAACATCAATGATAACTAGTTTGGAGCCTCCTTCATCAACATCTCTTACTGTTGCTATCACCGATAGTCATGACTACAAAAAAATTATGAATTACCACATTCTGTTTCGTCGTCTAGGTTTGGACAGTCCTGCTCTCCATTACAAACCAGAGCCGTTGGTATACACTGTGCTTGGATATTCCCATAGCTTAAAGAAGAGGAAGGCAGAGCAGTGGTCCATAACGTATGCCATGAAGCTGACACGGTCATAGGTTCGTGATAGACTAAGGTAGTTGGATGAGCAGTGGTGGTGGTGTTCAATACAGATAAGTCATCACACTTGTACGACCCTGGACAGAATATTTCACCTGGAGACACCAAAACAAGTTAGGAAAGACAGCGTTGTTCCTACTACATTCACCACAAACAATGACAACGTCTTGCATCCACAGACCCACCCCAAACACGCTGAACATCAATCTCTTGCATTGGCAGTATCATTTCTGCTTTGTAAATTACAGGCGCAGATCTAAATGATAAAACACAAATTAATTAAAATGAAATAACTAGTACAGTAATATAAATGGTGATATCCTGCCAGGGTTGTTATTTATACTTATATACCTATTTGCCTGTCCGTAACAACCGGGCATTAATTTTAAAATTCTAATGGGCCTGACCGACCCGGACAAAATTACTTACTGCAGTTGGCTTCATCTTTGTAGTTTAGACAGTCCAAGTAGCCATCACAGACAGATTCTGAACTTATACAGAACCCACTTCCACAGTGGAACTCGACATCTTTGCACACACCTGGAGGTTGCGAGAAATAAAATGAGTTATTCACTTACCACAACGTGAGTGTACTTAGTGGGCGTATTTTGAGAGCCCAGTCCTGCAGCATACTAACTTTAGCTTACCACTATGTTCACTGACATTGAGCTGATGGATTAAAATCGAGAATCCTCGGAATGCCTTGGAGTCGTCAGTCTCTAGAGTTAGCCAGACGTTTTCCGACCACACCATCGTCCGCCGAGAGATGTCCTCGCCCGTTAGAGCAAAGACACGCTCGGCGTTCAGCCCAGCGGCCACAGCCCCGCGGGTCACGTATAGGAAGTCGTAGCGGTCTTCCATGGCAAAATCGGCGATCCTCATCACGAACGAAGTCCCTTGATCGGGCACGACTTGCCACATGCAAGCAACATGATTGGGTAGTGGTTTGGGTACGACGGCGACTGGAGCACCACAGCCTCACTGCCAACGTAAATATCCCGGGGTCCACATACACCTGGTATCAAATTTAAAACTTAACTTAGAAAACTGTTCGAATTATTGTCACTGTGTGTAAGCAGTTGTTGGTAAACATTTATCCCTTCCTGTCATGAGACCTTATCTTTATTCGTTATCTTTCTTTCTTATGCACACTTCCGAAATCTCGAAATTGATATTTTCATTTATATATTTGTTCCTCAAGATATATTCGATTGAAGCCAAAACGGATTGCATGAACCTAGTTTACAAATGGGTGCGAGAAGAACAAAGGAAAGATTGAGACGATGAGCTCTTACCGCAGTTGTCTTCGTCTGATCCATCTCTGCAGACTGCATATCCATCACAGACGGCATCAGCGTTAAGACAAGTCAGGCCTGTCGTTTGATGCTGACATGTGAATTCACCATGCAGACAGGTACCTGTTTATTGAAGCACAAATGTCAGAAATTAAGAGCAAATGGTGTTTTAGTATTCTAAATCACAGTCAAGGATATAAAATTATTTTCTATGGTTTAAAACATGCAAGATCCTTGACAGTTAACTTTTTCGATAGTTGCGTCGACTGCAACAAATCGGCATTTTTAAGGGGGGGGGGTACAATATGGGTCTATGGCGATGAAAAATCGTGCTCTAGGATTCCCGTAGACTCGATTATATCGACTGAGATCAAAAGAAAGTCTGGGTTTCTCATTAAGTAAGACTGTTGCTAGAAGAATCCTTAAATTTTTCATAACATTTTGCAAAATTCTTTAAAGAATTCCGCGAAATATTGCAAGAAGTCTATAAGTAAAGAGCCAAATTGGCACAGCTGAATCTCAGAGGCTACGCTGGAAATTGCTTAATGTCTGTGATATCAGCTCAAAATGAGAGACAGTACCAACCTCCAGGGATTGCTTGGGACACCGTTCCTGAAAATCCTCTCCGAGTAATGGATGCATCACTCTGGAATTTCAGCCAGATCTTGGGCCCCGTCGAAATGACCCGCGCGCTTACCAGGGCGCTGCTCAGACGAGCAATCAGCGAGTCTGCATCCGAGGGATCGTGGCCACTACCGACAGTAAAGAAGTCTTTACCACGCTGCAGGTCAAAGTTGATGAAGTGGAGGACCACCACGGAACCCTTGTCGACTGTCACGACCCAGAAACACAGGGCCTCATTTGGGTAGGGCAGTGGATAGTTGATCGACAGTAGAGTCAGTGATGATGTTGTGTCATTGCTCAAGACAAGGTCGCTCTTCCCACAAGGATCTACATATGCGTATTGCGGAAGAAATAGCCCTCTTAGTCCCATGATCATGGCCACACGTCTTCCTATTTGGTCACATCGGCGTAGTGAAGTTGTCCGAGACACCCATCCCTTTTCTAAATTTCACAATGCAAGCCACTGATAAAAGCTGATCTGTTTGCACGATAATGATATTTTCATCAGGTACAATTAATTGATAAATTGTGGAACGGATTAGGAATGAAGGATCAAACATACAGCCATTTTGAAAGCCCTTTAACCCTCATCAACCCTCCAAGCTCTCGCAATACATCCATCTTTAATGAACAGCGTTTTAGGACATGGAGCCGGAACACAATTACCGCATCCTTATACTGTGATGTGATCAGAGAATCACAGAAACAGTCTAAAATTCTTGAGAATCAGTATGCCATCTACAATTAATGTAGTGGCAAGGCACTGAAATTATTAGAATCATTTTTGAGCTTACAACAGTTCTTCTCGTCAGACAGGTCTCCGCAATTAACTCTGCCATCGCAGATGTCATCAAGCCAGCCGATACAACTGACTTCAGGACACTGGTATTCATCCTGCGCACATGATCCTGTCAAGTAACGAGACATCAAACTCCAACTTAAGGACTGAAACAGCATTCCTATTTCGTGAATTAAACCTCAAACCGTGGAGGTAGGAAAATACCTCCGTCCTCCAACTGTCAAGGTCACTTGAAGTCTTATAAAAGAATCTTGCAATCTTATTAGAGACAGCAGGATTTCGGTGTGGTGTACCTACCACAGGCAACTTCATCTCCCTGGAGCGGACACTGTGGTATCCCATCACACACCTGGTCCACAGGTATACATTTGTGTTCAAGTGGGCACGTAAACTGACCTTCGCTACATTCTGAAAGGAGCCAAAGAAATGACCGGGCAAGAGCATCTCAGAATCGACCAGATTAATGACAACGACTTCTGCGGAAAAATTTAATATACTGTTGACAATTTTCTGCTGATCTGCATGTTTTAAAGGTTAAGTATCTCAACAAAATCAAAATGTTCAATTCTTTTACAGCACGATAAGATTTGTACACTTACCGACATGCATGGTATTAAATTGTTGAAACTCAATGGCAAACCGATTATTACAGCTCTCTGCCGATTCCAATTTGACCCACACGGCGCTGGTGCGAGATGCAATCGTCTGTCTTCCATGTGAGCCGGACATCACAGTGAAAACACGCTCTGCGCTTATCTCGAGACCTTCTCCGACAACCAAATAGCTGTGGTTAGAGAGGCTGAGATCTTTGATGGTGATCCTGATTGGTCGTCCCGACGAGGCAGCTACGCGCCATAGGCAGCTCTGGCCGTAAGGATAGGTGGCGGCATCTTTTTCAAAGTTTGCCTGAAGTAGGAACGGTAAGCCGTCTGTCACATTAATGGTCGATACGCCGCCGCAGTGGTCTAAAAATAAATGCAAAAGCAAAAATAAGCGATGAAATATCTATTCCCTACGTGCAGTATCTATAGTTACGACCGTGTTTGATAGACAACAGTCTTTTGATGTGGACGTGCAGGGGAAGCAGGATAAGTTTGTTTGTTCGTTCGTTTTCTGACAATTATACAGCTTAATGAGATGACCCGTCAAAAACTCAACGAAAAGCTATTTTATCCCACCCCCAAACAAGAAATGAATCACTGATGAGCTAATTTTGGTTTTATAAAGCACATACCACAGCCAAATTCGTCGGAAAAATCGCTGCACCAGGGGGCACCATCACAACGGAGCTCGGCAGTCATACACAAACCATTCGATTTGCAACGAAACTCTGACTCACGACATGTTTCTAAAAGTCAAAATAAAAACAATGATCAGCTTGTTTTGATTCGATGATGATGATATTCTCTTGCTGACATGTTAATTGAAAGTTATCTTTCATAGTGGATTACGGTACTTTAAACGTCGACTTCCCACTGTCGAAATGTTTCCACTTCGGGATGTTGACGTCTTAAGAGTATATGTCGCTGACAGTTAAAAATAGCCTGCCTCAAGGGCAATATGATTGTTTTTTTCCTACTCACTTTCATGGAACGTGCTAAATTGATACCAGAAAGATCCTCCAGACTTTACAGAGTCTCTACCGTAGAAATACATCCACACAGTGTCTGTTTTTGACAGGAAAGCACGAGGGCTGACTTTGTAGGTGTGCGTTGCTAGCCTTGATGAACGATTAGTAGGGTGAATGCCATCTCCAACACCAATTTCATCATCAAATTCGCCCATGGTTTGGTGTATCACCTCCACGAGAATCCTGTTTTGGAAAGAAATAAACACTTCCAAAGTGTCTTATCTGGTGTAGCCACGTGCACAGGTACTCCCAACTGTTCTACTGATGTACCTTAAACAAGAAATAACTGGTTATCAAACTGCACACTAACAATCCGCAGAATTAGCTAGTTTGAGCCTCGCTGGAGCATGTATCGGCTGATTGGAGATCCCTGAGCTACTACGCTGTGTTTGTTATCACCATTTTCACGTATTTGCATTAGGAGAGATGTAAATACAAGACCCGTACGCGGCTCACATACCTCTCTCCCGGAGTTGTAGTGAATATCCAGAGACAGTCTGTAGCTGGTGGAAATCCATTTGCAAATGATATGTTGTACGGTGAGTCTGGATACTCTTCGAGGTTGATGTGTCGCTGCCCACACACGTTTGCTGATAAAGAGGCAGGAAAGTGGTAAAGGTTTCATACTCTGGGTTAGGCTGGCGCTAGGTCTTCAAAAGGAAATAGATATAACTTGCCAAAAAAGAGAGAAGACAAATATGTACTTTAAATACCCACTCCGTAAAAAGATTGTCATCTTCATAGCTTGCTTGAGGAGAATTTAGTGAGGCGTTCGAAGTGGAAAAATGATGCGCTAACACTTACAGCACAATGTCTCATCTTTGTAATCACCATAACAATCGGCTTGGCCATTACAAATGAGGTCTGCAGCAACACAAAACGGCATATCCTTCTCCTCAACAATCTCACATGAAAGGGCCTCACCGTCGCACTGCCCTATACATGATGAAGAACAAAACACAGGTTAGTGACTTAACGTCACAGCCGAGTTTTGAACAAATACAGTTGTGCTCAAAATTATTCATACCCTTAGGAAAATATCACACTTTTCTAAATTCTTTATTTGTAAAAGCAATTACGTCAAGTCTTCCACTATATCCTTTGTCTATTTGTTGCAATACACAAACCCACACGTGTGTTGGCTTAACTTCATTTGTATGATAGACACGGCTCGGGTTTCTTTTTTGCTTCCGGTCAAAATAATTCATTCCCCAGACAAAATCTCCAGAAAAAATGTCCTTTCATTCTTCATTCATACTGCTTATTTTCACTTTCTATAGCTGCAAGAATCTTTGGCATGAAGCTATTTCAAGATGTTCCAATAGAATAAATACCTTCTTTTAATGACTCTGTGTTCAAAATTTTGATGATATGCCATCTTCCCCAAAGAGTATACCTCATATTGCTCGGAAATTTCCTTTCAGCCGTTGCCTTCTTTATGGCTATTCAAAGAAACTTTTTCATATCATTTTCAGTTACTCGTCACCATGGCCAAGAAGGAGGAACTCAGTGAGGATATACACGCCAGCGTATCATGAATAGCCATTAAGAAGGCAACGGCTAAAAGGAAATTTCTGAGCAATGTGAGGTCCCTAGTTGCAACAGTTCAGCTTATCATCGGGAAGCATAAGAGGTTGAAAAAACCTCAATGGGCATGGCAGGAAGGGCAAAGTATCTCCTAGACTCGCCAGAAAAAATCTGCCGGGAGGCTTACAACAACCCACGGGTCATAGGGCTTAATTGATACCCTTGACAAGGCAGGGACAAAGTCGTCACGGGCAACCATCCAGCGAGTATTGCGCAAAGGAGGTCTCCACGGACGCAGGCCCAGGAAAACACCACTTCACAGGAAGAAATATAAGAAGGCTTGTCTGGCATTTGCTAGAGCACATCTGTACCAAAATCCTTCCTTTTGGTCATCTGTCCTGTGGTCTGATGAAACAAAGAAGTAGTTGTATGGCCACATGGAAATTGCCTAAGTCTGCTGGAAGCAAGGTGAAACATTACAAGCCGAAGAAAACAGACCCAACCGTAAAGCATGGTGGTGGCAAACATTATGCCATGAGGTTGCTTTTCTGCTAGTGGCACCAGGAAACTCATTAAGATACAGGGCATCATGAAAAAGGAGGATTATATCAAGATCCTTGATAACGACGTGAAAGCGTCTGCTGAGAAACTCGAGCTTGGACCTGATTGGACGTACCAGCAGGACAATGACCCCAAGCACACTGCCAAGGTATTAAAGTAGTGGTTCAAGGACAATGGTGGCCATGCACTGGAATGAGCATGCGTGTCGAAGTCCTGATCTAAATCAAATAGAAAATCTGTGGAGGGAGCCGAAGACTGGAGTGATGGCCAGGAGACCATCCAACCTGACCCAGCTGGAGGCTTTCGCCAAGGAAGAGTGGGCCAACTTCCAACAGGAGACATGCAGATAAAGCTTGTGGACGATACTTATAGGAACCGTCTTGAACCAACTTAGGCCTATGTAAACCTGGGGTGTGAATAATTTTTACCAGGAGCAAAAAAGAAACCCGAGCCGTATCTATTATTATGCAAAGGAATGTTTAGCCAACACACATGTAGGTTTGTGTATTGCAACAAAAGATAAAGTAGAAGTACCAACATAATAACTTTTACAAATGAAGAATTTAGAAACGTATCTTATTTTCTACTGGGTAAGAATAATTTTGAGCTCAACATACATCTTTAATTAAAATCAAATTACCCATTATGAAACACCATATGATACTTTAACATTCCGAGGCTGTTCATGAATAGTAAAACACTACCATCAGGAAAAATAGTTCATGAAAATTTAGCGCGCGTAAGATTTGAATAATAATGTAGCAGCACGTACCACATGAATATTCATCAGAGTTGTCCCAGCAATTGACGATGCCGTCGCACTTTTCGAAGGCTTGGATACACTGCAGTCCGCTGTCGCACGCGACTTGGCCATCGATGGAACAATTCACTGAAATCGTATACGGAAAACGTCAACTTCCTTTATTCATGGCTCACTGGTATGATAGCCAGGGTGCACGTGCTAAACACAGGTCGGTCGTGCTCAATTACTTAACTATGGCTAGAATTAAGACGAGCTGCTAGTAACCGGCTTCGTTCATTTCCCACAGTCAAGTTATGCCGACGAAGCCTCTTTGTCATTGCTGTTATTCCTATAGTCGTATGCTGATGAGAACCCATTCCAGCGGGTGAAACTTGCCAGTGCAGCCTCATACTCAAGCAAGGTGCCCATTTCACGAATGGGGACTACTCGCTCAGGGCTTCACAAAGAGAAGAATCAGTTGTGGTAGTCCTCAAATGTGCCCTGGGCAGCATGTCGAAAATAGCTTTAATATGTCTAGATTGTCTGTTGCAGAATAATGACAATTTGAATTTCATGATACCAAATTTAAGCCGATATTTTTTTAATTTAGGCCATTCGCAAAGACAGCTGGTTTTTGACAGAACAGATCTTAATGAATTTGTAGTGTTGAGCAATGACTTACCATCGCGTTCGAAAGCAGTGAGTTCCAAGGCAAAGTGCGGATCTGGTACGCCGTGGAGGGAATTCTCCGAGGGCGCGTTGTTTAATTCCTCCATCGTCACCCAGATCTCGCGACCTTGTGACATAGCGACCAGCGGCGCCGTGCCCCCTCGCCGCTCCCAGATAACCCGGCTCCGTCTCCGGCTGACCCTCGCTCCTTCCCCGACTCTCAGAACGGCGTTGAAGTTCAAGCGGATGCTTACTGTCCGGATGAGGATTTTTGTAGCTGGTGGCGGGGCCGTGATCAGCCAAACACAGGCGATCCTAATGGGATATGACGACGGGTAATAGGGAGATGTCAGCAGATAGGTGCTGGTTGGTTGAAGGTTGATTCTGACGTCCCCGCACGAAGGTGCTGCAGAGATAAAGCAGGAAATTTGTGTTTTAATATGAAAGTGTCGTTTTCTATGATCAGCCAAAATATTTCCTACTGAGGGGGATTTTTGTCCTCTCCGGCTTATTATGCCAAATTTCAAACGTGTCGTGTGTTTTTTTTATGCTTCTGCGTTTCACCCAAATGGCCTGTCACTTCTGTATTCGTGGAAACAAAAATCATTAAAATTATGAGCAAAGCCGTCAGCTTTCCAAGTATCAAGTTCAGTTTCAAAGTAGGTGACCCAGTTTAATGAGGTGTCTGCTGAAAGAGTTGTGAGGAAGGCTGAAGGCGCTTTTCGGCTGGCACCTACCGCATCCTAACTCGTCTCGAAAGTCCAGACAGCTTCCGTAGCCGTCACAAACGAATCGTCCCTCAAGACACCAATCCGAAGCTCCTACCCCACAAGAAAATTGACCACGACACATCTCTGCAAAAAGGAAAGCAGATGCCGTTATTTCCTGGCCCGTAAACCCGTTCCGGCGGGATGAGAACTCAAGACCTTCACAATATCATGAAAGTGCTTCACAACACAGAACCGACATCTCTCGATTTCTGCGCATCAGATACATTTGATTTATTAGATTATCTGTTTGTTCATTTGTTTGTTTCTTCAAAGATTCACCGTCCTGTTTATGGAGGGTATACTTATACAGTTGTCCATTTGAAATGTTCTTCACCAGAAATGCAAGATATTTTAGTAGAGTGCTGCCGTGACTAGGGTACCCTCTAAATGCAAAAGAGTGAAAAACTCTCTCTCAAGAAGAGCGAGTCCCTTTTAAAACCTGTGCAAAGGAGTGGATTTTTGAGGGACTCACTGCTTATGAGAGTGACTTTTTCCCTTACATAAGCGCACATCCGGAAAGAGTGTATATGTCTTCCCCCTTTAGAATCAGCGGAGTGCACGGAAAACCCCATAGTTTCCATAAGGTAAGTCTGCCGGTGACAGCTCAAAGAAATGATGCGCGATCAGCGACAATTGGTGACGATTTAGGTAAAAGCGAAAGGTTTACCCGAACAGGCGAATTCGTCGGTGAAGTCCTCGCAGTCCGGTATACCGTCGCACCTTTTGCTTCCATTGATGCACTCGGTTCCCGTGGTGCATAAAAAGTCCCCATCGCTGCATTCCACTGTCGAGAAACAGAGATTGGGAAGTGCTTTAATATGCATCTGTGCAAGTAGGAGAAACATAAGACCCTGCTTTGGCACGTGAAAGATATGAGTTAAGCTAATGGTTATCACTATTCACTGTGCTGTTATTTCAGGACACCTATGAATCTAACCTTGTGATGTGAATTTGCACTTTTGAATACTGTGTATAGGATAAGACATCAATGCGTAATGGTTTTTCAGAATTTACCAAATAAGTTTTCCTTTATAGGCACCTATACTTGTTTTACTGTGTAACGGTCCATTTATTCTCTTCGCAACAAGTATACGTTTTGCTCATCCTTTATAACAATAAACATTTGGTAACTCGATAGAGGCATTGTGTACTTTTTGACACAACGACTAGAAGTGAGACTGGTGGAGAATGAAATACCCACTCAATAACCATTAGAGGTTTTGAGGGCCCCTACAGCAGAGTAGCATGCATGGGGATGGACTCGTGTTCGCCTGAAAGCTTCCCGTAGAATACAAATTCTTGTGTTCTTCATCGACTTTCATACAAAAAACACCGTCAAAATAAACTCGGGATTTGTTGTTATTTTAAATTAGATTGAAGTTTCCTGGACTGGCCATGCACAGCTGAATGGTCTTAAAAGCAAGTGGTTTTTATTATCATGTAACGAACTCATCATTTACATGTATTGGTCTTGCTGATGGCATGAGCTTGAAAGGAGAAAGCAGACGGCTCATACAAGCCCCACACCGCGTGCATGAAAAACACCCATATGGTGGAATTGGATATTTTGAGGGAGCGAGGAATGGAAGCGACGCTCGTGAAGGCGCTAAAAAAGACGACATTCTCCAGCCCTGAACGGGCTGCATAAGAGAACTCTGCCGTTGCAACGACGAAGACGACATTCCTAGACAGCTGGTAGCTGGAAAACCTGAGAAGGATGTCGCTGGACGATGGTGCACGGATCACCCAGGTACAGATAAAGCTGTTGGTGGAGTTTGGGCTCGATATGTTGAGCTGTTGACCGGGGGTGAGGTCGAGGTTCGTCGGGCCACACACCTCCTCTGCCCACACAAGGCATATTAGGTGCCGAGGAAGAAGAAAAGAAGTTTTTATTTCAAAACACGCACGGACCTGATTATGGATACTCAGTGTAAAAAAAAAAAAAAAAAAAAAAAAAAACCAACGAATAGGCCTATCGCTTTTAAAAAAGAGGCAAGGGGTATTCCCTTTCACATAATTTGTACCATCTTTAAATAAAATTCCTATACCGGAGTAACAGTTAGAACTGCTTCTTTAATTCCAATTAAAAAGCACACTGTGTACAAAGAGGTCTTCCAAAATGTAGGGCTAACGAAACAACTTTGTCAATATGGTGACGGGCAAACTGCAGACAGGTGTTTATTTCCTGACCCTCTCCGTCATGCCTCGCTTGATGTTTGTGGTTTCGTGTAATGAGAAACATGCGTTTAATTTACGTAGACTGGAAGACTAAAGAGAGTGCATTGGATCCAAGCATGCACTTTTTGAAACGTTTTGAAAATTCATCAACAGAAATATCAAAAAGCCACCATTGCACAACTCGTTTGTCATGTTGTAAGCATATCCGTTACAAACTATCAACGCACGTGCGACCTCTGTTCACTTGCAATGTGCTACGACTACGATGGCTCCGCAAAATGGACCAAAAATAATGCTGAGTTGATTTGGACAGGCGATGCATTCCCCATACTGCTCTTCAATAAAGGAAAACCGCCTTACCACAATCCGTCTCGTCCACCCACTGGTTACGACAATCAATCTTTCTATCGCAGATGGCAGTGGGGTGGATGCACACTACGTGGCTAACTTCTCTGCAAAACATGTCTTTTCTGCAATCTGCAGCAGTGGGTTAAAAATGCAAGCTACTAGAAACCTGACATGAGATTTTTAGAAAAACATGCAGAAAGTATACAGCACGCATGTAAAAGTATGAAATTGAATTCAGTGTTCTAAACAACTTTCATACTTTCAGAAAAATTTTTTTATATTATAAATATTATAATATATCAACCATAATAAAAAGGAAGACTTGTAATTATAGTGTTTGAATTTCAAAAATTTAAATTAAATAAAACACTGCGTGTTTATCATTATTTGGCATCCTCTAAGGCTTACCTGTTTCATTGGTAAGTGACAGTCTTGCTTGAAATTCATGACTTTGGTTCAGATGTTCCTCTTCACCAGTCCACGAGTATTCTGCTTTCAGCCGTAACTCGTGGGCAGCGGGGACAAAAACGCGACGCTGGACCTCCCGGGACAAGGGGAACCATTCCCCGTCAGGCGAGAGAGCAAAGTGCACGGCAAACTGTTCAGCGTTTGCCGAAGTAGTCAGATCGGTGACCTCAATGGATATCCAAGGACTGATGCTTGCGTTTCCAATGCTCCGGACTTCCCATATTATCGACGAGGACGTGCAGTTTGTGGGCGACTGAGGAAAATCTGCTGTCGACACGAAGCCAGCCTCACTCTCGCTTATGTTGACGGGTACAGCGAGTTCATCAACGCAGGCATGTCCTACAGCGAAAACAGCTTTCCGTTAGAAAAGGTGTACGAAAGGATTTTACCTTTCTTCAACATGGCCATTTAGTTAATACTATGTACAATACAATGAATTTAGCCGCGTCCTTTACCTGCATCCAAACATGTAATGAGTGCCCTCTGATTTGAAATTTGAAAACAAGAAGATGAAATACAAATATTATTGTTGCTTAATGTAATGTTCAAATATAACAGTATTTTGTGGGCACCATTTTTGAGGGGACATACTCAGTGGTATGGCCAGGCTCTTCTCACTCCTTACCCCCCCCGTCTCCCGCTTTGCCACGAGACACACTCAATAATGAGCTCAGTCAATTAAGTCAGGCTGATTGAAATTGAAATTCTCCTTCCAAGTAGGCCTAAAGAGTATTACCGCACATTCTGTGGTTAACACTGCAAGACTCACCACATTTAAATGCAGTAAAAGCTGAAAGAAATACAACCTGAAGCCAATGGACGCGTTTCCTTTGAACTAGCATTGCTGGTTTGCGCATGAAAATGTCATTCAGAGCCGATGTGCTTTTGTTTCCCTGCACCAGTTTTGCCATAAACTCTTTTGCTTAGTCTTCAGCTCTAGGCAGTAGTCCAGAACAAAGATCGTGCCATACGTGGTACAAAAAGTCATCCACACCTGTTGGCGCCTACTTCGTACATTCATAAGACACTTGACCACGAACAAAATGGTAGATGCTCCATGTTTAACCGCGTAAGTTCGAATGACGCACATGCACACGTATAGCCCGTTTACATCTCACTAATAACAGTGGAAAGCTGCTGGTTGCAGCGTCAAGCTGAATCATACGACTGCCTAAAACAGACCTAACGTAGGTATAATTTGAATTTCAGATACAGGGATCTAAGCAACGTGGCCTAAGGAGAGGTCCCTCATTATGCACATTACATAAATATAATTTATTCATTTTAAATCGACGAAAGCAGGAAGGCCTTGAACGTTGATTGTCAGAATGCACTTTAAATTGTTCGGCATATGGGCCCTGCGGGTATAAAATTGTTACCAGATCCATAAAAAGAAGTTGAGACCCCCCCCAGAATGCTACACAATACCATTCCATTCAACGACTCCTTTCTTAACTTCAGGATCACCTAATGCAAGCTCTATGGCGGAATATATGAAGTGGAACAAAAAAACGATGACTTCATATGCAGGCAGTTCTCTTGCAGTAGACTTATGATGGTGAAAGTCCGAGTAACACCTCAGTAAACCATAATAATGTGCATTTCTTGTGGATGATTTGTGCTCTGAATGGACCCTTGTCTTTTTAATGCTACGAGTTTTTACCCTGATCAGTGCACTCCGAATCGGCAGGTCTATATCCGTGTGTTGTGCATACAGACTAATGTGGGCCTATGATGAGCCAGTAAGTTTATTACATGGGCCTAATAGTTAGGTCGCTGGGGAGTTTTGTCCGCGAAGCTTCACTCTGTGTGCATGTTTAAATTTGCCAACGTACACTGTGCATGAGATTGCTTTGCCCTGCAGGCCTACAGCACCGCAACTGTAGCCTTTCTGAAGTTCGTTTTTGTTATCGTGGTCATAATAGGCTACTCCAATAATTATCCCAACTGCTTCAAGGATGAAGAGCTCATAATCAGCAAATAGATCATGGGTTATATTTATTTAGTATCATTATTGGCCTGACACAATTGCCTACCATCAATGCCATCCCCGTAGTTAAGGCTTACTTATAGACCTTAAAGGTATACAGAGGGTGTAATGTACTGTAACAATTCCAAACTATATGTATCAGGTGTACAGGTGTCTTTCTTTAATTCCTTGTATAGCCTCACCAAGAAGGGCCCCCAGTTTTACCATACATCAAATTAACCTTACGTCTTATTATTTTACTCGGGATTATTGGGAGCTCAAGAACCATGTGGAGCTCATTAACCCCGTCCACCCTGGGTCGGAACCATTCACTGGCATGTTACCGCAACTACACTATAAAAACGCTGGACAACTTTTTGGCCAAACGTTAGGTTCCAGGTGAATCACGTAACTGTTGGGCGGAAAGATCAAAACGCTGGTTGAAAGAAATGGTTCTAAAAATAATATTTTCTACAACTGTTGCGTAAAATTAGACAAGTTTGCCAATATTTAAGGAGAAAATCAACACAGTTGGGTAACCTAGCTGTTTGCCCAACAATTTTGCGATTCACCTGCTACCTAACGCTGGGTTAAAAATTGCCCAAATCGCCAAAATCTTTCGCCCCTCAGTGGGAAACACCGAACACCACGTCATGAGCTCGGACCAGTTTGCTGCCATCATCCAAGACCTCACCCTCCAGCCAGACGACGTCATGGTCAGCTTTGATGTCGTCTCCCTGTTCACCAATGTCCCCACCTCCTACGCCGCCAAAATCGTCAAGGCCAAACTTGTATCAGACCCTGCCCTCAAGGACCCCACAGACCTCACTCCAGAACAGCTGCACGACCTGCTCCTCACCAATGTTAACTCATCGAGCTTCCGCTGGCGGGAAAAATTCTTCAAACAGTCAGCTGGAACCTCCATGGGATCTCCTATATCCCTGGTTCTGGCTGACATGTTCATGGAGGAATTTGAGCAGCTCGCCATAACCACAGACCCAAAGTTTTGTTTCCAATATATGGACGACACTTTCGTCATTTAGCATCATGGGCAGGACAACCTTCGACTCTTTCTGGAACACCTCAACGGGCTTCACAGCAGCATCCGTGTTTACCATGGAACAGGAACGTAATGGCAACATTTCGTTTCTTGATTGAGGTGATCAGAAAGGAGGACGGCAGCCTATCCCGCACAGTCTACCGCAAGCCCACCCACAGGGTGGGCTTGCGGTAGATACCTTCACAGTACGTCCTTCCACCACCTCAAGATCAAGTCGTCTGTCAACCGGGCCCTTGTCCGCAGGGCATACAATATCTGCGACAAAAAATTCCTCGGGCAAGAACTCCACAACATCACCGCAGCACTGCAACGTAACGGATAGAAGCCCAGCCAAGTCAAGACACAAGATCTTAGATCTACTTCCGGCTGAAGGGTCTCCTTTACCCAAAGCCAACTAGTTAGGGCCCCTAGTTCCATCACCCTCCCCTACTTAGGCAGTACTTCCCATCACATCCAGAGTTTTCTCCACAAGCACGGTATTCGAGTTTTCCACACAGCCCCACTGCAGACGTTGCACAACCTGCTCACCTCGCACAAGGACCAGCGGCAGAACCCCCATCGTAGACCAGGGGTGTACAGAATTCCTTGCCAATGTGGCAAAGTGTACATCGGCGAGACGGGCAGGGATCTTCCTACCCTACTCAACGAGCACAAAGCTCATGGTAGGAAGGGAGAGCTTGAAAAGTCGTCGATAATTAAGCACTCCCACACTGAAGATCATCAGATCAACTGGAGTCAAGCTGAACTCATCACCAGCATCGGACGATGGTATCCCCGCCGCATCGAGAAGCCATGGAAATCATCAAGCATGACACAGTTCCCAAAGACATCGGCTTCAGCATCAGCAATATCTGGCACCCCGTCCTCACAGCCCAGTTCAATGGGTCTCCTATACCCTAGGACTCCCCAGTTAGGTTCCCCCCTTAGCTAGCCTATGGGTCTTCTCTACCCTTGGCACCCAGATGCTTGCTCTCCCACTGTCGACTTCAACTGACACAGACTCTTGTCATGCAATACCAGGATCCAGAGCAGCACCCATTGTTCCCACCTTCATTGTTACCGCCTCAACGCTTCACCGAGCTAACCCCTACATCTGGATCCTTCTCTACACCATACAAGCTCCACTCCCAGTCAGAATCCTGCAGTCTTCTCAAGAAGACATACTCAACCGCAATCATTTTACTCATCGCAATTTAGTATCACATGTTAACTGAAAGTGCATGCAGTAAGAGGAAGATTACAAGACAGCTTCGTTTCCTATCTATCAATAAACCTATAGACAACCTTCATTGCAGAGGTAGGAATATGATACAGACAGGTAGAGTCCTTTTATCCAACACGAATGGGTTCCCATACGAAAAATTCAAGAGTTACGGTGCAAGATGACCGAAGAGGTCAACACAGCAGGTAACGCTGACAACAGGTCAAGACCATCGGATCTTTCCACCAATAGATTCATAATTAATAAACATTATTATAATAATGATTTTTCAATTGTAATTTTAAACTTCTTAAGCACACATGCGTATAAATGACCGTGGCGGCATCAAGCGTAAAAATGTTATTTTACACTCAAGTACTCCGGAATGTTTTTGTTTGACTTTTTTCCTCTGATTATCCCCTTGAATCATCGTAACTGCTGTTTTCTGGTCTAAGTAGGTATTTAGGAGAACGAAAGAAGACCTAAAAACTTGTTTCTGTCCCAAGCGCACGATGCTGGGAAGTGATTATAAAAGGTGCTCTTTTGTTTTTAATGTTTTAGTTTATGAATACCCCAACATGACTTTGGCTGGCTTAATAATTGTTTTTACATGTAGTGAAAAAATGTTCAAGAGCATTGGGTTAATAAAAGTGTTGCCTTAATAATAATGTCTGTTATCTTTTCTGTTTGAAGGTATCCCGGCAATATCATACTTCAAGGCCTCCCGAGCATCTTCTCCTATAATTGAATTCTACATTCAAGTTGGAGGAGGTCCTGTGAAACCGACCATTTTGTGAGAAAAAGGAAGGAGCAAAGCATGCAAGAATAAACACGTAATCCAGCACTCAGCAAGCAAGCTTGAAACAACTTGACCAGCTCTCAGCCTGGAAGTATTAACCAACAAGCCAATCATGATTTTAATCAATGGGTAATGTTTTCCTCCATTTTGCAGATCAAGTATTTCCTTTTACCTTTCAGAATGCCCTTGAGTACAATAGGGAGAGAGGTGTTGCTATGCAGCCAGTCTATGTCCTGCCAGGTAACACTCCCGTTCGTAAGACCTGATCCAGTGCGGGACAGAGCGCTAACAGAAAATTAGCTAACCTGTCAATTAGAAGAATAAAATCTTGTGGAAAATTTTTAAGGGTTGCCAAAAGGTCAAAATAATCTGATAAAAAAGTGGAGGGATATCCACACCCATCCATGACGCAATAATCATCTTCAACCCGAGTTTAAAATATTTTGATAAATAGCTGTGGCTGGGCTAGGTGACCAAAATTTGCCTCAAAATGGAGCTTGAGGTTTTCCTTTCCATTCTCTTCTACGCACAATCTTGGTGAGAGTCTTTAAAACAATATATCCATTCATACTAACATCCTAACTGAATAGTGATAATTTGGAAAAATTACACGTGTGGCACAAAGTAACCGAGTCCATTATTATTATGGACTGCAGTCATTCCAACCCGTTGATATACAAACAGTTATGATGGGCTTTGCCGTCTGTTTTTTTTCTCATAGTTCCCATGACGCTATATCGAGACCCGACATTGTGGGCAAGTTTCCCAATCTGAATTCAGTAAGTTAACAATGCAAACGATTTGTTTACGGTTTTTGGTACCTTGTCAAAAGAGACTAGAGGCCCTGTTTTAAATGAAAATTTAACAGAGTCATAACATTTTAACAAAAGACACGACGTCCAATAACGGAATCCAAACCTATCATTCCCAATTAAGCACTCACAAAACGTGCCAATGACTTTATCGAAGCCTAAGAGTTGAATTTGTTATTTCCATATGCTCCCAAAATTACCCTTTCCCCAGTGGAAACTTCCAAGACTTCCAAGTTATTCTGTGTACCACTGGGCAATCTGTAGTCACAACTAGGGCCCTGTATCCATTTTCTTCCCCCTTCCTAACTATTGAAGGGACGATATCAAAATCTGGAAACAGATGAAACTGTGCCCAGAGCAGTCCGTTTGGGGAAGAGGCTTATTTTCATCTTCACCTACCCCATTAACATGGGGCGGCCATTTTGAAATCTTGTTCAGTCTGTACTTGTTACCTATTACCCTTGCCAATTGCTTCGCTGTTTAGAGTGAGTTTCGTGCCTTTTTGTTTGTAATGATGACATTTCAAAATACTTAAGAAACCTTAAAATCATTTACTTATTGAGCCTTATCAATGAAGCTAAATATAAGCATTTATTTTCCATTCAATACTTTTGTAAAATGGGGTTTCGATCGGCGGAGTGTCGGAAATAGACGTAGTTCTGTTTATTTTCGCCCCATAACCTTAACCATGTGCAAGTATACTTATCAGCGGGTTAAGATCATTAATTTCTTGCTCTACTGCTGTTCTTTTCATCTTGATTTAGACTTATTAGAGTGATGGAATTACCTGTAGTATTTAATCACCTCAAAGTTGTCCACCAATCGAACTGACATGTCATGTATAGTGGGTGGCTATGACCACGAAATAAACCAATGAATATTGGCCTCAATATTCTTCAAAGTCCATGGTTCGAGTCGCCAACCCCCCCCCCCCCCGTGTTAAAGCGTGGGGTGGCAGCATATTTGTCAGAAGAATAAAGATACCGGTAGATAACGCATGGGGGCGAGCAATAGTTTGTAATGTGCCGTAGATACTATGTTTCAAAAGAATAAAAAAGTTTTAACTAGATGCAGGTGCTAAAGTGTCACACAAATATTACGTTTGATTCTTTGCATCTAAAATCTGTAACCGCTTTGGGTCTCCTGCAGGGAATCTGGAATGGGGATAAGTGCTTAATCCTATAGACCAAGCGCTTTGCTTTCAGTGAGTCTTACACACTTCAGTAGAATTCTTCCAACACATGTTCAATCGCTAGTCGGACAAATGGAAATGTTACTCTTAGCTAGCTGAGCTCGGTGAAAGTTTTGTGTCCCGTCTGCTCAGTGGTACCTCCTGTGATCTCATGGTACATGGTAAGCTCCAGTAAGAGCTGCAAGGCCGGGGTGCAAGACCAGAACTACCAGCGTTAGTGGGTTAGCCAATCAGAGTGCTCCGTCCAATTTTGGTAGCAAACCTCATATCTTGCGGTCGTAACCTCCGAACGGTCCACTAGTGCATGTGTCGACGCATCCACAATCAACATACATGTATATGTTAGTGTTTACGTTTCTGCAGTGTCACTGCTTTTCGACTGGGGTCAGTTGTCAAGAACAAGAATAGAGAAAATGGCAGGCTTGTCGCAGCCAATGTGTCTGAAAGATTTTGAACCGTTCGCCCGTAAATCTTTTCCTGAACCTGTCTACAAGTATTACAGAAGCGGTTCCCATCCAGAACAGACTCTTCGGGACAATGAGGTCGCTTTCCAAAGGTATGTTTAATGCAGATATATACGCGTAAATGTATGTAGATTCGTATGTACATGTAGCCTACATGTACCTTGCCCCAACTACAAGTGTAAAGCCAGTCGACTGGACCCTCTCCATACAGGTTAAGCACGGCAGCATCTTACCGGTCACTGGTTTTGTTCCACAGGGTTGCACAGTCATGAATAGACCTTGTGAAAAGAGTCACGTGCCCTTGTAGTCTGCACTATGGTAACTCGGCAAGAATTTATTTCGTTCGGCACAGACAAACAATTATGGCTTAACAAACATCATTCGTACCATTCGTACATAGAAACAAGTACAATTCCTTTATTGCCAATGCAAGATTCAAGACAACTGCATGCCCTGAAACGAAGTTATATAGCTATTGACCTTGTGCACTTGTCTCACTGATATCCTTTCAACTTAAATTTGACAACGTGCTCATCAGCACAAACAAGAGCCCATGGAGGCAGGCTCAACCACGAGCAGCGGGCACGTGCAAGCACCCCCAGTGATGGTCGCTCATCCGTTGGCGCTGACCCACCCCCAAAACTCGACAGACTGGCTAATGCCACCTCTCCTCCGTGGGCTTAAACCATCCTGATTGCTTTCCAATGCAGCCGGACAAGAAATTCCACCTCCCATTCCGCCACCTAACCCTTTTTGCCGCTAATGCGTGTACAATGCACCCCTCCCCCAAAAACCCAAAGTTGGAACTGGGGTGGGAGGTGGAATCTTGTCAGTGTCGAGCCATAACTGAACCAAAAAATGGCTGTTTGCACGGTAAACATTCCCGCCGTGCTCGCCTACTTAAGAGTGTGACCTTCAGCTTTCTGGCCACATGAGCCACAACGAAACCCTGGCTCTGTTCTGGAGCTTGATATGCCCAGGTCATGGCCGGAGCTTGATATGCCGAGGTCGTGCCTTTTCACAAGAGTGCTTTGCCACAAAGAGGGCAAACCGTGTTGTGAAAAGACTCTGTCACGCCTCATGTGCTAACTTGGCAAGAATTTATTTTACTCGGTACAGACAAACTGTGGTTTATATTATATTTATATTTATTTATTTCAAACAACAAAGTTTAGGGTTGTGAAAAAGACATCGACGTCCAATAAATAAGATTCACTCCCCGGGTAAGAATAAAAACAATAAGAAAACAAACACACAAAAATTTATGGGATAAAAGAGCGTGAACAATAGCACTAATTGAACAAACAAGCAGGAATAATTAAAATTTGATGCACAATACGCAAAAGAAATAATCAAATAAAAAACACAGAATTTAAGTACAATAAAGTAAACGGAGTATAAAATAGACAAGTGAAAATACAGAAAAACACAAGAAAAATAA